CCAGAGGAAAAAACTGTCTATACAGTACATGGCTCCATGGGAATTTACTGTCGTACTTTTAATTCCCTGACAAGCCATTCATTAAACTCCTCAGCTCCCTGGTAAAAGGGAGTGCTGCCTTACCTTTCCCACCAGCCAGGACCGTAGGAGAACATGGACATGAGTACATGGACAGGAGGAGAACATAGAGTGGAGGAGAAATTGGACAGGAGGACATGGGGATGAGGACATGTAGAGGAGAACATGGAGAGGATGGAATAGAGGAGAATATGGAGAGGGGAACATGGGGAAATGGACACGAAGTGGAGAACATGGGGAAGAAGACACAAACAGGGCGACATGGAGTGGAGGAGAACATGGGGAGGAGGACATGGGGAAGAACATGGAGAGGGGGACGAGGAGAAGGGGACATGGAGAAGAGGAGAACATGGAGAAGAGGCAATGGTCAAGAGAACATGGAGAAGAGAACATGGTGAGGAGGACATGGAGACCCTCAGACTCGTTTGTCCATGTGCACTGTGTGCTGTTCTGGCTTTGTGTGCAACATGGAGGATGTTTCATCCAACTGCTGCAATTGTGCTTTTATTGTGTGGTTTAGATAACTTTTTATTTAGTTTTAAGAACTTGCGTTTCATGTTTGTTGCTTTCTTATTTTGATTCATTTGTCACAGTTGTCCCAAGTAGGACAAGCAGTCACAGAAAATAGGTGGATGGATGTTCACAGTCGTTTGCTCATAAAAACATATTGATGTGAAATTTATCCTGGTGTATTTTTTTTTTATTTGTACAGCTTGTATATTTTAAAATAATCAGCTCTTACTTTTCCTTTTCATAGATATAGTGGTAGATTTAGTATCAGGGCAGGAAAGCAGTTTGGAGAAATACTTACGACATTGCTTAATATCTCTGACAGAAGCTTAGTTCTACAGCTTTCACTCGATGAGTATTTAATAAAAATATGCTAAGTGGATGAACACGAATCGCCTACCATATCTTGTGTTAAAAACAGAGACTCCAGGCCAGCAGATCCAGGGTCTGCCTCGATGGTAATCTGCACCAATGCTTAACGCAAGCTGAGCACATTTCAATCCTCGAGGAGAAGCGGGGATGAAGAGAATGCGATACCGGCAAGATGAGCGAGACGGAAGGGTCTCCCGCCAGCTCCGCTCTCCCCCACAGAGTGCTAAAGCGCCATCGCTGCCGAATTCCTTCCCGATCGCCTCAGCACCTGCTCCCAAAAGTCTGTCTCTGCCCTGGATACTGCAGGACACTGAGGCCTGATGCACTGCACATATGCTGCCTTGGCAGCTTCTTGACTTCTGATCGATTTTGTTTCTTCTATAACCACGTATTTAAAAAATAACATGCAAAAGTTAACCCGGGTGACTTTTGCGGAAGTCTGCTTTCTTTGTGCTGGGAGTATTCACCATATTCACTGCCGGCTCTGGATGCAAATTAAAGGCTAAAGATGATTTTCAGGACCCATTTAAAGTGATTTTACTGCTTGAATTGGACTGTGTCTAGAGATGTTTATGGTGGAAATGTTTGTATTTGACCCTTGAAAATTTCACAGAAAAATACAACACCGTAAGATTCCCCTCGCTGGACAAAATAAGACGCATCCTTCCATGAGAACCTGCACTTTGGCCTCTGCTGTACTTCATGAACATGCTGCATTAGTGTGCCACGAGGAGAACCTGCACTTTGGCCTCTGCAGTGCTTCATTAATGTGCTGCATTAGTGTGCCGCGAGGAGAACCTGCACTTTGGCCTCTACAGTGCTTCATTAATGTGTTTCATTAGAGTGCTGTGAGCAGAACCTGCACTTTGGCCTCTGCTGTGCTTCATTAATGTGCTGCATTAGTGTGCCGCGAGGAGAACCTGCACTTTGGCCTTTACAGTGCTTCATTAATGTGTTTCATTAGAGTGCTGTGAGCAGAACCTGCACTTTGGCATCTGCTGTAGTTCATTAATATGCTGAATTAGTGTGCCGCGAGGAGAACCTGCACTTTGGCCTCTACAGTGCTTCATTAATGTGTTTCATTAGAGTGCTGTGAGCAGAACCTGCACTTTGGCATCTGCTGTAGTTCATTAATATGCTGCATTAGTGTGCAGCGAGGAGAACCTGCACTTTGGCATTGGCTGTTCTTCATTATTGAGCTGCATTAGTGCCTGCAAGGAGCTCCAGAGAGGTCAAACCCACCTGTCAGCTGGGTCAGGAGATTGCATTCCTGTCAAACTGGCATTTTTTTGGCCGTCTCTCACCTCCACAAAGATGCTGTAGGGCTCATATGTTTGGAGGGGCAGTGGGGGGGGGGGGGGATGGGTTATGCAATTTTGTAGCTGTTCCAGATAGCACTGTTCTTTAAAAATCAAGATGATAAACATTACCTGGTCCAGAGGAAAAAGTATGTTAGGCAGGAAATGGTATTTAGTGTCTCTCAAAGGGAAAACTTCTCTTCCAAGTTAAATGTCCGTGCTGGTGTGCTGGCAGAGCCTGGGCCTCCGTGGTGGGGGTGTGCAAACAGCCCATGGTGCAGTGAGAGGGACGCTTGCAGGTGTGGCGACGCGGGGGAGAGGGGGCCCCCTGCCAAAACAGCCACCTGTTGTTCCATAGCTGTAATTTTAGGACTTCCCCTCGTCCGGTCTTTGCATTGCTCTGCCCCCCCCAGTACTCCCCCCTGCCAGAGGCCTGACGATCGGAGCCAAAAGGGGCTGGGGGCTGTCATGCGTATGGCAGCTCTCTAACCGCTAGGCCCCCTGGGGGCTGGGGATGGACAGAGCGGCAGTGCAGAAGCCCCCCCCCTTCAGTGTCCGGAGGAAAGTAGCTGTCTAGACCACTTGGTGTCTAATTTGCAACAGCAGCTCTGTACTTCAGAGCTGTGAGGTTTCAGCTCACAGGTCCAAACACTAATGTATGGCTGTTTCTGGGAAAAATAAGTAAAAAGTCTGATGAGGAAGCCTCAGCACTCCCATGGTCGTCTCCTTTCATTTACCATCTACTTGTTCAACTAATTACTCTTTTCAACCTGTGAAAGAAATGATGTGTAATATTACATCTGTTATAAATCTCATATATTCCCTTTTCTACTGGGCCTTATGAATAACAATTCAGATAAATGTTATTTTCTGCAAATAGTCTCAGGGGCTGTCATAGGCTTGTGTAGAATAAACTTAGAATGATTTGCTTCAGTAAAACCCAAGTGCGGTATAAATAAAACTGTACGCCGGCTTTCATAAAAGCTTACGGAGAAGCTACCAGACAGTACTGTTGTTATCGGAGCCATCGCAGGTGCATAGATGATTCACTGTATCCCGAACGAGTCCACTAGAACAAGCATCCACCGCATTGCGCTGTGAGCTAGAATGTTCTAAATGTTACTGTCATTTCGCTCTCAATGTTACTCTGAATGTTACTGTCATTTCGCTCTCAATGTTACTCTGAATGTTACTCTGAATGTTACTGTCATTTCGCTGTCAGTGTTACTCTGAATGTTACTGTTATTTCTCTCTCAGTGTTACTCTGAATGTTACTGTCATTTCGCTCTCAATGTTACTCTGAATGTTACTGTCATTTCGCTGTCAGTGTTACTCTAAATGTTACTGTCATTTCGCTCTCAATGTTACTCTGAATGTTACTGTCATTTCGCTGTCAGCGTTACTCTGAATGTTACTGTTATTTCTCTCTCAGTGTTACTCTGAATGTTACAACCCTCCCTCCCTCTCTCCCTCAGGCCCGTCAGCAGCTCCTGACCGTGCTCACTTTCAGAAAAATGTCACCAAGGCATTTTATGAAAGGGAGGCTGCCATCAGTCATGCAAGTGCATGAGCGAATAGAGCAGCAGGATGGTAATATCAATAAAAAGAATGAGCGCTGAAAAGTAAAGAGGACAACAGCTGGCAGAATCCTGTTAGCAAAATATATCAATGGTGTTCATAGCACTGCTGTGTTACTTTGCGCTTTTTTGTCCATCTTATGCACTGTGCTTTTCGCTCACTCTCTCCGGCGGGTTTCGGGTCTGGCTGCCCGGACCCCATGTGGTGCTTTGGCTGACGACGCAGCTGCTGATGACCAGAGAGACGGCTGTCGGGCGCCGCATAACACAGCAGCGCATGTAGCTAATATGACAGACAGCTGTGCTTTTTCTGTACATTGCAGAAGCCTGGAATTGCATTTTTTCCCAAAAGGACCACAACACCCCAAATTAATCACTTATAATGGATGGAAAAGAATGAGAATTAACATCTCGGCGGGGGGGGGGGGGGGGGCGCTAAGCCTCTGTGTCTGACTGGAAGGTCGCTGGGTCAAGCCTGGCTTCACCAGAGTAGTCATATCTGTGGGCCCTTCAACAAGCCCCTTAACCCAGAGCTCCATTGGTGCCACTGCTCTTTGCTGCCAAGGTTGCTCTCACCTGCCTGTCTGCCATGCAGAGGAAGATGGGGTAAGTGAATAGGTGCTAATTTATTTATTGCTATTTTCCTGTTTGATGTAAGAGTCTACGGTCTATGGGGCTTAGGGCCTGGGGGCTTGTGTTAGCCATTTGCTAAAGCCTTAGCCTAATACTGCCCTCTAAACTCTCTGACATACAGCTCTGGAAAAATTAAGAAACCCCTCCATAATTCTGAAAAATCTGCATTGTTAAATCCTGGTTTAATCCTGGTTCTTCCGGCAGAAGGTTACACAGTGTGCTTCCAGGCTGAAAATTTGTAAGACAGCAGTATACAAGAATAAGGTGAAGCAGGAGACACTGGGAATGACCAGAAACCAGCCAGGTAAAGGGCGGAAGCGGCTTTCTAATGTCAGAGATGACCATTAACTTATCTGACAGGTTCTCATGAATATGAGGATGACATCAAGTGACCTTGAAAAGGAATGGGAAACATTGAGTGCAGGTGTGAAGTGCACTGCTAGGACAATTCATGACAGGCCCCTAGAAGCAGGATTGAAGTCCCACAAAGCAAGGAAGAAGGTTGTTGCTAATGGGAAACAGAAGAGTCAGGTTGGAGTTAAAAAAAATGTATTTTTAACACAGACACATACCCATAGATTGAGAAATGAGTGGAACTGAACATCTTTTGATCTCTATTTTGTCCAGAGCTGTTTGTGTTCAGACAAAACAGCCAGCAGGTGACTGTTACTTTCTGTGGAAAGGTGGGATTATTGTGCAGAGTATCTGAAAGGGGGGAGTGATACCAGAGAAAAGAGGGACCAGAGGAGGAGTCACAGCTGGACAAGCCGGGCTTGGGGGTATGTGCGTGCGTGTGTGTGTGTGTGTGTGTGGGGGGGGGGGTGTCGTACTTCCCCACTGCCCCTCTGCCCCTCATCTTCCTTGTCAGGATCCATAACCCAGCCTCCCCGTCAGTAAAAAAATTCATCAACCAGCACCCCCCCTCAACAAATCAATAACTGCACACGCTTTACGGCCTTTGTATTTTTCAGTGTTAACTGTACGTTTGCTGCTCAGAATCAAAGGTGAAGAACAGAAATAAGGTCCAGCACGCTCATGGAGAGAGCACCTGTGGGTGGGAGGTGCTTTAAAGGCCCCCCCCATAACACACTCCCCCATCCCCCACCCCAGCAAGCAGGGGCTCATGGGAGCACATGGGTTCAGGGTTTTCCTTCTGTGGGAGGATGCCTGTTTCCTTTCACAAGAGAGAGGGGGGGGCGGGTAATCCAGTCTTCAGGTTTATTTCCAAGGTGCTGGAGAAGGAGTCCCTGCATCCTGAAGAAAACTCAGAGCGTTGGACCAAGCAGACAAAGCCCAGTGTCAGATGAGGACCTTTTTAGGAAAAACTCATGAAGGCATCAGACAAAAGGCAGTCAGCAAGAAAAGGTGTCCTTTGCGGCCCATGAGGAATCAGACACCTGGAACATATTCATAGAACCACACGCAGCCAAGTGGATGTTCCATGTATTTGATGTTCTTTAAAGAAATGGTGCAGATCCTCAGTGTCCCTCTTTGATTAACTTCTTAAAGTTGATTTTCTGTCTCTGCCTTTGTTCTGCATTAAAAAACAAAACAAAACAAAAACAAATTCGGTTATCAATTTGACCTGCCAGTTCAGATAAACAACTGTTCCTTACGTTTCTATCCACAAATATAAATAATCTGATTTTAAAAATACACGCATCCTGGGCAAATGTATCAGTTTGGTTATCCTAGCACGTGGGCGAAGCCCAAGCCTTGAACTGCCGGATGATTCCATTTTCTTTATGTCGCAGAATGGGACGATATTTCCAGGGCAGGAAGCAGGCTGCGGGATCAGTGAGTCTCAGCCTTTCCGTTCTCACCTTTCCAGGCTCAGTGACACACCTGGCTTGCATTACTGTCATTTGCTCTGCTGAGAAGCCGCGTAATTGGAATGTCATTGTTTGGTCAGCTCCGCTGCACGAGGCAGGCTGGGTTTTACGCTTGGTGCCACGTCACATGCAGTCGTCTATCTGGTCAACTGTTACATGCAAGATTCTTGCAATAAAAAATATTAATTACAGTGTAAATTAAATCACGCACGTAATTAACCTCTGTGGAAATATTCACGTAAAATATCACAATATATATAAGTTTTAAAGCTAAAATAAATTACTATTTAAAAACAAGTATACACATATATAATGCATATAGATTCAATTAAGACAGAGACAATAATATTGTTAAATGATTATTACACTCATACAGAAATTAAGCTTTAAAATACTTCAACAACTCCCAGAGATACATCTTATTTTCCACACCCCATCTAACAAAAAGAGATTTTACTTTAACACCAGTATTTCAGTTTTTTTGCCGCCAGACGGGTAAATTTGGCAGCTTGTTAAGTGATTGCGCTTGCCAGTTTCCCCTGCTGGGACGGGCTGCGGATTGTTAGACTTGTAATCTTACCCTTTCTGAAGACACATCTGTTTGGGTTATTAACCATCACTTCAGAGCTCAATTTATCATCATGATGTAGAATAAATATGAGTCCTGGGCGCACTTGAGCGATGTGTGATTTCGGCTCAAGCTGTCATTCACTATATATCGTATATACCTGAACGAAATCGCTCCGGGGTTTAACAGATACATCTACAATGGCCACCATAACAAAATGGACCAAATCATTTTATAGTTTTTAAAAATATGCGTTAGTTTGTACTTATTTTCATTACAATTTTTATCATTTTAATTTCAAAGCTTTTTATTTTGCGAGTATTCGGGAATTTAAGCAATTTTATTTAAAACAGATTTAGCGATATTCATTTATTATCATTCAGTTCCTTTAGTTGTCACTTTGGTATTGAAAAGTAATAACAGTCACGAACGAGTTAAGATTGGCTCACTGTTATACTGTAACGTGAGTTACTGTGTTACAGTCACAGCAAACGCATGGCTAAAGAGGAAAATATTAAGGACAAGCTTGACTCGATCAGGGGAGTATATTCTCTATAAGCAGCTATCTTTATATATGAAGAAACTTTTCATGTCGCTGGAACTCAGTAGCTATAGCCTACTTGGTACATATGCTTGTGATTTTTACAGATTCCCTTTTTGGTTGCAGTTCCATTAATTGATTTTTAGATATATATACTTTCAAAGTGTTTACTAAGGCTATTTACAACTATGTCAGGAAACATACTCTGCTGAGTGTAGGTTACTGAATAATAATAATAAAAAAGCAAATTAAATTTAACGAAACTCAAAAGGAAAAATCAAGGACTTTTTATTGGACCAAATGGCTTAACTCTTTTCACATTATGGACGATTAATGGGAAGTGTGGTTTCAGTGTATTTTTCTAAATTGTCAATTTTAGGCGCTAACTGCAAAATTTCAGCTGATTTCATCATGCGCTTAAAAGCAAGGAATATTCAAGGGCTGGAAATGTGTTACTTATAAGCTTAAGTCGTTTAACTCGGGTATTAATTTTAAAAAAATAAAAAGGCGTGTGCCACGCTTGGTCCAAGAAAAATGCAGCCCCGTGCCAGATGTGTACCGCTGGAAGCCGAAATGAATTATGGGACATGACAAGACGGCGCGCGGTGATGAAGCTCGCGCGGCCGAGGGCGGCTCGCGCTCCCTGGGTCACATACGCATTTTAGGTGTTATTTTAACGTCTGCAGTTATAATTATAATCTTTTTTGAGCTCTGTTTTATTTTCATTTTTAGTGCTGGACTTTAATAGGCATGATCAAAGTGAATTATAGCTGATGGCTTTTGATTCTATTTTACTCATATCATTATTGGCGAATTTCAGTACATTAGTGAAAGCGCGCGTTTTCTGCTTTAATTCCTCCTGCATGTGTCATTACTATGTTGTAAAACATTTAATATCAGTGTAACCTCACCGTCGTACAATGCATTTTTTCCAGTTGTTAAATACTAAATATGAAATATTTAAAACAGTTTAATGTAGTTAAAAGCTTAACGTTTCAAGGTAGCATAAAATTGATTACAAACTAAAATAATTGCAGCCATTTCGTTTTAAGCCAACGTGTTATTCCTCTTTATTAATCACTATTTCTGCCACATGACTAAAGTTTTCTAAATGCCATCAAGACAAAACCCTATTCTTACCGAATTCATGACTCAGAAAAGTCCAAATAATCTGATTCGTTTTCTTCATTTGCTTAAATAAAAATATGTTATTTACTTACTTTGTTACTTAAGTGTCTGTTATTTTTAAATATAGGCCTGGTATATTGGTATATATACACTTGATGAATGATTAGTTTGGTCTTTGTTATAGCTGACGCATCACATGAGTTTTAAGTTGGGTATTGAATGGAACATATTTCATTATTAGTGAATAATTCTCTAGATTTATATAACAAAATTCTTTAAAAGTATGCCCTTCAAACTTGAATGCCCATCAGAGTTTAATTTCTGACTTGCATTCATTTGTAGAGAGCTGTGTGACATACATTAACAAGAATTCGTAGTTCTGAAAATATAAATCAATACACAAATATACAATAATGTGTACCAAATATGTAAAGGTGCCTGACTGGTATTACAATTACAGCATTAATAATGAGAAGGCAGGAGGCTTCCTTAGATCAGTAGAGGTGCAGTGGGTGCAGTAAATTGCTCAGGAAGACTCACAGGTACTTCTGGGAAAAGACAGATGTTTTTAGTATCCCTGGAAGCCTCACAGAGTTGGCTGGTCCCATCTCCAGACCCTGTCCTGCCAGTGGCATTTCTGAAACAGGTATCTTTTTTTCTTTTTACTTTTTTTCACACTTTAAAACTAAATTTAAAGATTTTAAACCAAAAGTCTTGCCTGAATTTCCTTCACAAATCTTTTCTTTCTGTTTGCTTTGTGTATATCAATAATCTTTAATTGATTAGCCCTGTAAGTACCGAGATATTGACATAGCCAAGTGTAAACCTCTCTTGGTACGTGGTGCTGCTTCTGCTTGGCGACTTACTTTAGGTTATGCATTTTCACACAGTTTCGAGTATGAAATTTCAGTCTCTGCCGAAAAGCCAGTTCGGTTTTCATTGTGAGTGAACTGGCATTATCTCATCTTATGTGTAGCCTCACTGAGACCTCATACCCCACTGATTGGTGTGTTAGAAAATGTATGGAAGCCTCAGAAAAGTGAGAGGCACATCCTGCAAGTGTAGTGGGGTGTGTTTGTACATGTGTGTCTGCGTGTGTGTGAGTGAAGCAGTTTGTGTGTTTGTCTATGTGTGAGTTTATGTGTCAGTCTGTGTGTTTGTGTTTATGTGTGTGTGAGTGTGTGTCTGTCTGAGTATGTGTGTCAGTCTGTGTTTATGTGTGTGAGTGTGTGTCTGTCTGAGTGTGTGTGTCAGTCTATGTTTATGTGTGTGTGAGTGTGTGGTTGATGGCTGCCCATGCACTCACCATCTTCCTCTGGTTGCTGAGGCAGAAGGTGCAGATCTGCTTAGGCTGTGGGTTCTCTGCGTAGCGGCCGGCTGGAACGTTCCGGTAGTAGGCGGAGGTGCTGTGGCAGGGCTGCCCATCTCTGCAGGCATCGCCCACCAGCAGCACGTTGCCCAGGTGCGAGATGTAGCTGGACGCCAGGCGCAGTGTCTCGATCTTGGATAGCTTGCGATCGGCCGGCTCCGTGGGGATGAGGGTGCGCAGGGCGCTGAAGGCCGAGTTGACACTGTTGGTGCGATCCCGCTCTCGTGCGTTGGCCACGTTGCGCTGCTGCACCTCCACCACCGGGGGCAGTGCCATGCCCCCCGGCTGGCTCTTCCAACCACCCTCGGTGCCGTCCAGGTGGAGCGGCCTCTCTTCCGAACCCGAGCTCTCGCTGCCCATCTCCTCGTCCTCTGACGGCATTCTGACCTCCGAGTAGAGGATCCTGCTGGAAACAGTGCGCACCATCGCCGAGGACATTGTCCCTAAGCCTTGCTCTCGCCTTTTGTCCTCTTTCACTTCTCGTTATTCATAGGACGTGTGCGTGCGGCCCCGTCTCGCTCATGCATACCGGCTAGTGCTCGCCATCCCTCAGAAATGCCAGCATGCCTCCCACCTACCCCTGGAAATTCAGTACAAATCCGTAGGACATGATTCCAGGTTTTTGGAAAAATCTGTCCAGCTGTGGGAGATGGTGGCGGCTCCTCAAAGCCCCCCCGACAGGATACCTGGGCCTGAGCTCCCCCTCATCCCACCATCTGCTTTTCCTGCTATGGACCCACGTGTGGTCTCTGCCTCACAGTTTCAGTTTGGTGCAGCTTTATAGCCAGTGGGAATGTCTTGTGTGAGGCCCCGCCCCCTTCCCCCCCCAACCCCCCCCATTCACTCAGTCCTCCCGGGCTGACTCGCTGAGTGAGGTGGTGGTGGTGGGGGGGTTGTCCCACAACACAGGGCTGCTCGCTTCTCTAATGGAAGCAGATGTGTGGAATACATTCTGTTGATGGACTCGTCACCCAGGACGGGGCGACGCGCACCGTGGTCTCTTCCCAAAGGCCCATTTGTTCAATTTATAGGGTTTAAATGGCAACACTCTATGATTCTTTAAAAGATTTTTCAGCCGACAAACTCCAGACTCCTTATCCCTTGAAATATGAATGTATGGAAATGCTTTTGACTGTTCAGATTTTATTGTTAAAAACTCATGACGTCAGTGGTGGACGTATGTCTCCTTGTTACGCCGATGTTTGATGTGATTTGGCGAGAGCAAGCGATCTCAGCGATCATGGCAGCACTGGATGGCAGGAAGTGAGCAGAAAGCGGATCTCACTGGGCGCGTGTAGATCACCGCGGCTCGCGCGCAGTTCATAAGCCGCGGCGCTATAACTGGCCGTGCAATGCGGGAAACGCGAAAGGCGCGGGTCGGCTGAGCGGGGAGAGCAACAAGCTGGAAAGCGACACGGCTGCGGGGTGGTGGGTCAGAGCCTTGCGGACAGGTGAGAATGTCAGTGTCAGCTGGTCGTCGTTCACTGAAACGCAGTCACATGCTGATACCTCGCATTTCAAATGTCTCACGTGCCTGCAGCCGGCTCCGCTATGCAGTTATTACTTCTTAATATAATAATGTGTCTTATTATAAGCACTGCTGACGTGCAAGGATTTTTCTAAAAAAAAATTATTGGAAACATATGGAAAGATAAAACAAAAAATATGCTCACAATCAGTCTGAACACCAAAATGACAGAATATCTTAAAAATTTTGCAATGCTCCAAAATTTTATATTGCAATATTCCAATACAGTGCACACAGAACATCAAGGGATGCTTGCTTAATTCAGCAAAAATGTTTGGTTTTGTAACAAAAATCCAGTTACTCCATTCGTTTCCATTTCGTTTAATTAAAATATTCATTTCAAGTAGCAATAAACTGGAACCCAAATTATAGTCCTTGAAGAGCTGTTCTGAGTTAAAAAGTTCCTTGACAAGCAGTCTCATTGGGTGCTTTTAAATTAGTGACACCTTTGCAATAACATAAAATACCATATATTTGTGTTTAGTATCCCTTTGGGAGCCAGTGACTACAATTGCAATTATGGCAAAATGAACTGAACAGAATAAGACAGATAAAAAAAATAACAATAAAAAGAAAATGTCTGTGCAGAACATATGTGCAGAGATGTTAAATATTGCTTGTCAATGGACTATTGTTATGAAACCAATAAATTTGCAACATTTTTACAGAATTAACTAAGCATCCCAAGACTTTCTGTGAGCACTGCATTTATCTACTTATGCAAAGCAATAACAATACACTATGCATATGGTCGATATGATCATAGCAGAATACGATCTGTACATTTAGCATGAAATTTCTGCTTAGCAAGCATAACTAAAACCAATTCTAGACTGATCACTCAAATAAATTGCGCTCTTTTCAGCCAATAACATTGTTGCTGTGTTTAATAACACAATCACAATACAAAGCCATTGTCACCATGACGATGGATGATGCAGTGTGACCTGATTGGCCGCTAAGCAGAAATGACCCCCTGGGTGGGGCTGACTCTAACGCTGACCCAGCTGGGTCTGGCGTGTGGCGGCTGCCCTCCTGGCCTGTTCTCTGAGGCAGACAGAGCAGCCCCACTTACGGACCATGAGCAACGGCAGGGTGGTGGGCCGGGGGAGACCGGGGGCTGGGGGGGGAGGGGGCTAAGAAAACATGAATGTGCTTTATTCCTGGAGTGAAGGGCTGATGCAGAGGAACAGAGTTCAGCATTTATGATTTTTTTAATCAGTTGGCATTGGTTATTTTCCCTTTCTCCTCCAGTCTTCTGTCCAGAAAATTTTCCAGATCATTCGCAATGCAAAGAAAGTCACACATAAAAATGAGACTGAAAGATCAGAGACAGCCTCCCCAGGC